ATATCTAGTCCGGGTTTTCCCGATAGAATGGTGCGCTAGATGGGCGTGCAGCGATCTATAGAATCAAAGAGACGCGTAGATCTTTGCACTGCCTGCATCCTTCTTTCCATCCAGCCAATGGTTGCCTTTTCGTGTGCCCTTTACAAAGATGCTTTACAAATGGTTCAGGGTAACATGTGTTGTTGTAAATCTACGGGTTGGACCCGCGATGGGATGACGTGACGTCACTGGTCTGGGCGAGGCACATGGTTGCCACGATGACCTGCAAGAAAAAAGTAAAATACAAACCGGAGGTGTTAAAAACGTCACAATGAGAACCGGAAGCGGGCAACGAGCTAGGAATATAAAGTGGCCCGTTAGGGGCCATAAAGCGGGGAAATAACGTTACGTCCTGGGGGGGGGGGGGGGTTAAGATTGGCCCAGCATTGATCTCCCCTTTATCGAGCCGACACTGCCAGATCTGAATGGATTAGAAGCCCAAAGAAGGACCCAAAAATAAACTCAAACCACGTGACCGACGCCATTGAGAATTGTTTAAATAACGGTTCACTAGGCACAATCGTGCACATACATAAACATTCCCAAGCACACATTTATCTGTCTTAACAAATTGTCCAAAGACAAAATGTGTACCCTTCACATCATACTAGCACCGTCAGTCATCTGTCATCTGACCCCCCCCCCCTCCCTTCCCCCACCCTCCCTTTCCCAAACCAACTTGTCTTAGTGTGATCGTTTGTCTTTTTGGGTTGTTGGTGAGGGTTGGTTCAACCATGTGACGTCATACGTTGCCGGTGTAACAAAACGTCAGTGTTGACTTCTGCTGTTAAAGTCAGACAGAGTTGCCTTTTCTTGAACTGTTGTCTGGCAGCCTTTTTAATTTATTTTTTTATTTGTGACATCACTGACCAGTAGTTCTATTTTTAGATTTCAGATTATTTTATTTTTGTCCATGAACAAATATTTCTTTCTGATGGCATGATTGTAATGGAAGGGGAACATTCTAGACCTTTCTCCGTACAAAACAGCCGTGTGTGTTTGTCTTTGGGCCTGGGGCCAGCAACCAGATCTGGATTTGTTCCAGTGTCCGTGAGGCCAGCCCTCGGTGCTGGATGAAAAATCAACAGCCGACTCGTGCCACTTCCGGTTGTGCATATTATCGATAACTGCTCCTCTCTGTGGCACCATCTCGAGTTTCCTGAGCTCTGTGGACTCGAGTCGACTCGTGCTGCCCGTGTTTACAGGATAAATGTGTACACGACTCCTGTGTTGGTTATCTCCATTTTGGGCATATTCATTCTCATGGTCATTACGGGCATTACAGTCGATTGTCTTTTTTAGTGATACAGTTAGAGTTTAGCATCATCTTGTCATAATAAATGGTGGGCTGGCTCGACACGCACAGATCTATAGAACTGAAGAGACATAGATCTTTAACCATTGAACGGAGGTTGTTTGGTCTTTAACTTGAGAGATGTGAAGCTCAACAAACGTCTTTGTTGTGTGCTGCTGCCTTTGTACACCGTCTGTGTTGTGTGCTGCTGTCTTTGTTGGCCCCTGAACCATAACATCCGGGTCTTTGGGCAGTTAATGACTGTCTTAACGGCTTTTGACGGCTCACCACATTGTTCGCTCTCAAACAGCATGTAGGTCAAGTTTAAAGCGGGGCAGTCAGAGTTTAAAGCGAGGCTGTCAGAGTTTAAAGCGAGGCAGTCAGAGTTTAAAGCGGGGCAGTCAGAGTTTAAAGCGAGGCAGTCAGAGTTTAAAGCGAGGCAGTCAGAGTTTAAAGCGAGGCAGTCAGAGTTTAAAGCGAGGCAGTCAGAGTTTAAAGCGAGGCAGTCAGAGTTTAAAGCGAGGCAGAGTTAAAAGCGAGGCAGTCAGAGTTTAAAGCGAGGCAGTCAGAGTTTAAAACGAGGCAGCTTTAAACAGCACGTGGATGCATACACAAGTACACGACTATCTCGAGACGAGCTTCACGCCGCAATCAAATAAATTAATTACATAATGTGTTATGCGTAATTAATGAGCAAAGTTTTTAAGTACGTTACCCAATCCCCACTCCACGGTGACATTTGATGATGGCGTTAGGCCACCCCGCGCATCGTGTCTGGCATTTGCTTGTGGTGGTCAGCGCATGCGTGGACAGTTTCTGTGATGTAGTGGCCGATAAATGTCACAAGGCTTTGACGTCATAGCGTGGAGTTTATTTAGTGAAGCTCTGACCCTGTCCTCAATCTGATTAAACAACATGACGTCATCAGAGTTAACGACCACGTGTAGGGCAGGTGTGGAACTCACCTCAAGAGTTATATTTCAAATCGTTAGACCGTGTATAAAAATATAAGAGTTATATTTCAAATCGTTAGACCGTGTATAAAAATATAAGAGTTATATTTCAAATCGTTAGACCGTGTATACAAAAATCACGTTATATTTCAAATCGTTAGACCGTGTATATAAATATAAGAGTTATATTTCAAATCGTTAGACCGTGTATAAAAATATAAGAGTTATATTTCAAATCGTTAGACCGTGTATAAAAATATAAGAGTTATATTTCAAATCGTTAGACCGTGTATAAAAATATAAGAGTTATATTTCAAATCGTTAGACCGTGTATAAAAATATAAGAGTTATATTTCAAATAGTTAGACCGTGTATAAAAATATAAGAGTTATATTTCAAATCGTTAGACCGTGTATAAAAATATAAGAGTTATATTTCAAATCGTTAGACCGTGTATAAAAATATAAGAGTTATATTTCAAATCGTTAGACCGTGTATAAAAATATAAGAGTTATATTTCAAATCGTTAGACCGTGTATAAAAATATAAGAGTTATATTTCAAATCGTTAGACCGTGTATAAAAATATAAGAGTAATATTTCAAACCATTAGACCGTGTATAAAAATATAAGAGTTATATTTCAAAACGTTAGACCGTGTATAAAAATATAAGAGTTATATTTCAAATCGTTAGACCGTGTATAAAAATATAAGAGTTATATTTCAAATCGTTAGACCGTGTATAAAAATATCACAGTCGTCTGATTGTGTGAGTCATCTAGATCTGGTCTTACAGTCGTTGACATGCCTCTCCACCCCACCCACACTCCGCTAAAATATCGTGCTCACACACGTGCACACGTGGATTGTGTGAGTATAATTATCACCTCGGTAAGCCTCGGGAGCCGGCGTGTGTGAAGGTCCCGTGTCACATACTAGGATACCTATAATTCAGGCCATGGATTTCACCCCCCACCCCCCTCACCCCCCCCTCCCCCCCCCCCCACCCCGAACAACAAATTCCACATCGTTATCGATGAGATCGATAGTTCCTTGGCCCTCGAGTCGAATTAAACCCCTCGGATAGAAGCAAAGCCCTCAATGCAATAAAAGCCCTCGACACAAAGCAAGCCTACTTGAACAGAGCCGGGGATGTACAGGCTCAGATAATCGAGGTGACGCGGCGTCAGCCTGTCTTGGACTCGGTTCCTGCAGCTGTTGCTGTTTGCAGCTGTTGGATGATGGCCCAAGCAGCTGTTTCACCACGTGACTGGCCGGGTAGAACACCTCCACAAAACGGGGGTGACAAAACGACCTCGCCAAACAATAGCCAGCCAGATCACAATAAAACTTGTATCGCAGCTAAACGCCGGTTTGCCGGTCGGGACCGCATGTTGCCGGCCAGCATTAATGTCTGCTCATTGCGCGACAGACTTGCGCATAAGTGTTTATTTCAGTCTCCACTAGGCCATTGGTTGCTACCCCGAGTCATAGTACATATTTCTAGAGAATTCCATTCAGGATTTGATGCCATCGATTGTTTTAATTAACTTACATTCAGGATCGAAACAGCAGTCAATATATTTGATGTTTGCCTATCGAATCACCTTGCACTTTTAATTTTTTTTTCATTTTTTTTTTTTTTTTTGAAAATCCAAATTGGCTTTGACACGTGACCGCAGCCCTTGTACCTAGGAATAAAAAATGTGGGTGTGGTTGGGCTTTGAACCCCAGCCACCCCGCCTCCTACTTGAGACAAAATCACTTGGTTTGTCCTACAAACAAGCACAGACCAACAGTGCAGTCAAACTGTCCGGTCCGCCATTTCCGGTCGGTTAAACGATCCGGTTGTCTGTTTGTTTGGCTGTCTGCCGTGGACAGCAATCAATCAATACAGCCTGGCCACGCCCACCCGGACAATTGACAATGGCCGCCACTAAAAGCGGACAAATTAATTTTGTCCGGCCTGAGTCTCAGTAGTTTGGTAAGTTAATAAACAGTTGACGGATGGTCATCGTGCTTGACTGATGCTGATTGTGCATGACGGATGGGCATCGTGCATGACGGATGGGCATATCGTGTGTTGGGGGGGGGGGAGTGGATTGAAATAGTTTATGTATGTTTGTTTCACCAAAACTAAAATCTCGCGCTGAGCCGGCAGACGACACCAGATATTAGGTTTGTTTGCCTGAATGGGCGGATCTGTGGCAGACGTCACGTGAAGGTCCCCATGATGGATGGTCGCATGATATCCCATTCCGTCCCATAATCCGTTAGTTGTTGGTTTAATACCTTAGGTGTCCCGTTAATCGCCCGAGTTTAATGCCGGTAGCCGGTTGCTAATGTTCCGGATGCCGGTTGGTGATACTCCCAGGGATGGTGATACCGTAAGGTCATGTGACAAACTTAGGTCATGTGACAAGACGAGCTTTGCCGAGTGCTGCTGTACAAGTCCTGTACTTGGGTTTCTCTGATGACCTTTCACTGAGGTACTCGTGACTCGTGATGTCACGTATCTACATTCATCTGCTTAGTGTAGAGGACATTATAGGACTGAAGGACATTATAGGACTGAAGGACATTTCTAGACATATGAAACCATATCTTTTTTAATTTCTGTATTTATTTATCAGCATGTATATCTCCTCACTTGGTTATCCCTATACCAATGACCTTCACCATCCCTGTACTAATGACCTTTTGACCTCTCCTAGAGCGGGCTGTTCATGAGCACGCACGAATCCAACTCCAACAGCAAAGACGACAACGACTTCCTGTGTAACACCAACGAACTCGAGTCCTTCTCCAACATCGTGGGCACCAGTCCGGTCATCCGGCATCCGGTCGCCGTCTACCCGGGCCTCAAGCTGACCTCCCTGGCCGCCAGCGTTGTCAACCAGTTCACGGTGGCTTTTGTCGGCACGGAAACCGGAACTCTAAAAAAGGTAGGTTGGTGTCGGTCACGTGTCCTAATGTGTCGGTCAGTGTGTCTAACTCTCGGTCAATGTGTCTAACTCTCGGTCAGTGTGTCTAACTCTCGATCAGTGTGTCCAACTGTCGGTCAGTGTGTCCAACTGTCGGTCAGTGTGTCCAACTGTCGGTCAGTGTGTCCAACTGTCGGTCAGTGTGTCCAACTGTCGGTCAGTGTGTCCAACTGTCGGTCAGTGTGTCCAACTGTCGGTCAGTGTGTCCAACTGTCGGTCAATGTGTCTAACTGTCGGTCAGTGTGTCTAACTGTCGGTCAGTGTGTCCAACTGTCGGTCAGTGTGTCCAACTGTCGGTCAATGTGTCTAACTGTCGGTCATGTATGGACTTGTTTGGCTAACCATTGTGTCCGGCCATCTTGTGTGTGTCCGGTCATCTTGTGTGTCCGGCCATCTTGTGTGTGTGTGTGTCCGGCCACCTAGGTGCACGTGCTGACCCCATGCCTGTCCACTACCACAGATTCTACTGACCAGAGACCGACGCTCGCACGAGTACGCCGAGGTCACCGTAGCTGAAGGTCACCGCATACTGCCGGATATGATGTTCGACGCCAGCCAGAAACACATCTACGTCATGACAGACACAAATGTAAGTATGATATTTTAATGTGTTCTCCTACCGGCTAGCCCCACCCATAGCCCTATAAACAGCCCAACTAAAGCCTTGACACTGGGAGGGGGGGGGGGGGGGGGGAGACCACACACTCAAACACACACTCAAACACACACACACACCAGCTAAGGGAGCTGATCAGACAAGCTTAACCTACTTATCGATTGATTGAATTATTGATTGATTGACCTATTGACAGAGTTCGAACAACAGTTCGACATGCCGTGATTGCCGAGACTAATTTACCACGCACCAGTGATCGTTGTGGTCAATCACGTGACCTCAGTCACTAGCCTCAGACACACACACACACTAAACCTAACACACACACACGCTAAACCTAACACACACACACTAAAAAGAATCATCCCCCACAAACAATACACACTACCTAGCACACACACTCACATTAAAATGGAATCACCCCCCCCCCCCCGTACACAGACACACACCAGTTAGACATCACGTGACACGATGAAAGTCGCCCCCCCCCCCCCCCCAACAGATGAAGTGACTGAGCGTCTGATCCAATGTGGCCTCCCCCGGGCGGGACGTGTCCTTTGTAAACACGGATCCCTGGATTACAGTCAGTGTCTTCAGGCGGTGTACGGGAGGGTGTCTTAAGACGATGTACGGCAGGGTGTCTTAAGACGATGTACGGCAGGGTGTCTTAAGACGATGTACGGCAGGTTGTCGGCGGTGTACGGCAGTGTGTCTTAAGACGGTGTACGGGTGGGTGTCTTAAGACGGTGTACGGGAGGGTGTCTTAAGACGATGTACGGCAGGTTGTCTTCAGGCGGTGTACGGCAGGTTGTCTTAAGACGGTGTACGGCAGGTTGTCTTAAGACGGTGTACGGCAGGGTGTCTTAAGACGGTGTACGGCAGCTTGTACTGCCTACATGTTTTCCCTAGCACCAACTGGCCGGTCCCCTAGCACCAACTGGCCGGTCCCCTAGCACCAACTGGCCGGTCCCCTAGCACCAACTGGCCGGTCCCCTAGCACCAACTGGCCGGTCCCCTAGCACCAACTGGCCGGTCCCCTAGCACCAACTGGCCGGTCCCCTAGCACCAACTGGCCGGTCCCCTAGCACCAACTGGCCGGTCCCCTAGCACCAACTGGCCGGTCCCCTAGCACCAACTGGCCGGTCAAATGATTTTGTCTTCAGATCCCCCAAGTGCTAGCCCGAATGAGTTCTAATTCCCACAGTGTCCATAGAAGAATGGACATCCCTGGTTATCCCCCCCCCCCCCGGCACTATCGATGACCAAACTCGGCTGATGAGTAACTCAACACAGACCAGCAGACGACTGAGTTGTCTTCCCAGCTCCTAGATTGACTGGTTTGTTCTCTGTGGAAGTCAATCATCGCTCCAACCGTTGGCGTGTGATGGGAGGGGGGGGGGGGGGGGGGGTTCATGGACAGTCTTAACTGGGAGGGGGGGGTGGTTCATGGACGGTCCCATTTGGGAGGTGGGTGGTTCATGGATGGTCTTAGCTGGGAGGGGGAGGTGGGTGGTTCATGGGAGGTGGGTGGTTCATTGACCGTCTAATTTAGGAGGTGGGTGGTTCATGGACAGTCTTAACTGGGGGTGGGTGGTTCATGGAGTCTTAACTGGGGGGGGGGGGTGGTTCATGGACGGTCCCATTTGGGAGGTGGGTGGTTCATGGATGGTCTTAGCTGGGAGGGGGAGGTGGGTGGTTCGATGACGCCCCAACTGGGAGGGTATGAGAAACTGAGGTCCGAGTTGAGCGTAGACATGTGGAGATAACTGCCATTAACATAACAAAAATTGAATAACACCAGGCTAAGCCAGCGGGCGTCAACACCCCCCGTCATACGGCCTTGCAACGGAAATGTTATTGATTGCGTTATGAAATGGAATATCCCCACCTCACAGCAGTGATCGGCTGATACCCTTGATCACAATAGCCCTGGAACATTCTAGAAGGCTGATATCTTTCATCTGTTTTATTTATCCCCCGCTATCTTTATATCTGCCGCTGTGTGATGATAAATCGCATTCAACAGTGTTTGTATTGTCCATCATTCACTCATTCAATAATACATGTTTTGTCCATCATTCACTAATTCAACATTATGTTTTGTTTATGATCATTCAAACACTCAACAAAACATGTATTGTCTATCATCATTCACTCATTCAACAAAACATGTATTAGAGTGTATTCACACATAAGTTTATTCTCTGACCAGATTTTCTTTGAACCTGGTGTACACATAGACTTGTACACATAGACGTGTACACATAGACATGTACACATTGTGTACAACAAGACTTATCACTGGACTTGACTTGTCCTTGTGTCCGTCAAACCCCCAACGTCCACACTGTCCGTAGAGCGGCAGACGATATCCTCGCGTCAGATTGGCTGACCGCTCTCGCCTGCCTCTCGACCTTGACCGTGTGTATACAGCACCTATCTGTGGTTCTATTTTGTACGACTTATCGCTAATAACGTCCACGACTTCCGTGAAGGCGGCGTAACTCTTGAGAACCGTTTCCTCAGCTTCCGGTACCACGAGTTGAGTCTGATCGATTGTGAGAGACGAGGAACTCACCGAGTGCATGTTCGCGACACAATAAGCCCTGTTTTCCCGTGCCGTAACCTCCATAATTGCCCAATTGTCCAGCCTTAGTGTGCTGTCTACAGTCATTGACACTAGCTTTAGTGTGCTGTGTGCAGTCATTGACACCAGCTTTAGTGTGCTGTCTACAGTCATTGACACCAGCTGTAGTGTGCTGTCTACAGTCATTGACACCAGCTTTAGTGTGCTGTCTACAGTCATTGACACCGGCCTTAGTGTGCTGTGTGCAGTCATTGACACCGGCTTTAGTGTGCTGTGTGCAGTCATTGACACCGGCTTTAGTGTGCTGTGTGCAGTCATTGACACCGGCTTTAGTGTGCTGTGTGCAGTCATTGACACCGGCTTTAGTGTGCTGTCTACAGTCATTGACACCGGCTTTAGTGTGCTGTGTGCAGTCATTGACACTAGCTTTAGTGTGCTGTCTACAGTCATTGACACCGGCTTTAGTGTGCTGTGTGCAGTCATTGACAACAACTTTGCTGTCTGAAGTCATTGACTCAGCACCAGGACAGGGAAATAGAAATCACAGATGTCACTGGTCAATGTCAGGGTTGTCAGGGTTCAAAGACAGGAAAAATCGTTGCGGCGTGTCAGCTCAACTTAGTGTGACACGGTTCGTTGCGGGTGTTGTACTATGGGGTCGGGCTATATGTGAGAGGGGAGGGGGAGGTCTACTATTTTGTGAGATGGGAGGTGGAGGTCTACTATTTTGAAGCATTAGGCGTGTTGTAGAGGGGTCAGTATTATCGGGGGCCCAGCGTACTATGGTGGCAGTTTAGGGCCGTACACCTTAGTGACCTAACACTGTACACAAGTCCTGATCTTAGTGACCTAACATTGTACACAAGTCCTCGCCTTAGTGGCCTAACATTGTACACAAGTCCTCGCCTTAGTGACCTAACATTGTACACAAGTCCTGGCCTTAGTGACCTAACATTGTACACAAGTCCTGGCCTTAGTGACCTAACATTGTACACAAGTCCTGGCCTTAGTGACCTAACATTGTACACAAGTCCTGGCCTTAGTGACCTAACATTGTACACAAGTCCTGGCCTTAGTGACCTAACATTGTACACAAGTCCTGGCCTTAGTGACCTAACATTGTACACAAGTCCTCGCCTTAGTGACCTAACATTGTACACAGTTCTAAGTCGCGCATCGAACCTCTGACTCCGGGCCTTGGTTTCAAAGTGGCGCGTCTAAAAATAGATCCAGTACCTGCTGCAACAACTAAAATGTCTCCCACCGAGCTGAGATCTGCGTCATCAAAGATGGAGTGATTTTAAACTTCCGGTAACCACCGTACTTCCGGTTCCACGAGCACCAGCTGCGCGATACTGCCAGTGCGCACTTCCAGGGATCAGCGAGCCAAGACACTTAAGATTCTATCTGGCCACAACACAGGCTTTCAAAACATGGATTGGACGTTTCAAGACACTTAAGATTCTATCTGGCCACAACACAGGCTTTCAAAACATGGATTGGATGTTTCAAGACACTTAAGATTTTATCTGGCCACAACACAGGCTTTCAAAACATGGATTGGACGTTTCAAGACACTTTAGATTCTATCTGGCCACAACACAGGCTTTCAAAACATGGATTGGACGTTTCAAGACACTTAAGATTCTATCTGGCCACAACACAGGCTTTCAAAACATGGATTGGATGTTTCAAGACACTTAAGATTTTATCTGGCCACAACACAGGCTTTCAAAACATGGATTGGACGTACTTAAGATTCTATCTGGCCACAACACAGGTTTTCAAAACATGGATTGGACGTTTCAAGACACTTAAGATTCTATCTGGCCACAACACAGGTTTTCAAAACATGGATTGGACGTTTCAAGACACTTAAGATTCTATCTGGCCACAACACAGGCTTTCAAAACATGGATTGGACGTACTTAAGATTCTATCTGGCCACAACACGGGCCTTCAAAACATGGATTGGACGTTTCAAGACACTTAAGATTCTATCTGGCCACAACACAGGCTTTCAAAACATGGATTGGACGTTTCAAGACACTTAAGATTCTATCTGGCCACAACACAGGCTTTCAAAACATGGATTGGACGTACTTAAGATTCTATCTGGCCACAACACGGGCCTTCAAAACATGGATTGGACGTTTCAAGACACTTAAGATTCTATCTGGCCGCAACACGGGCCTTCAAAACATGGATTGGATGTTTCAAGACACTTAAGATTCTATCTGGCCACAACACAGGTTTTCAAAACATGGATTGGACGTTTCAAGACACTTAAGATTCTATCTGGCCACAACACAGGCTTTCAAAACATGGATTGGACGTTTCAAGACACTTAAGATTCTATCTGGCCACAACACAGGCTTTCAAAACA